CGCTTCAGAAACGTGCCGCGGCTGGCTGATAAACACAAGCACTGACTAGAGCGGCCGCGATCAGCTCCGGTGGCCCTGGAGCCGTAACGCGTCGCAGACGCGTGCAGTGAGGCGCAGATCAGCTCTAACGTCACTGAATCTGCTGTGTAGATGAATCATGCAAAACATACACGACAAACAGCGAATTTTTCATTGTTTCTCGAAACGTCATAGCATTGCCACACCGGCGATGACATGACTGCGGTGCCAAATCATTTATGTCCCCACGCATCATGTACGTCGTCACGCGTTGACGTCATCAAATTGCGATCGGTTCCTGAGATCGGCCAAGTTGGTGAGTACCGATCGAGTCATAAAATATGATTATCGGCCGATCGATCGGAGCATCCCTACTATTTGGTTTTAAGTTCTCCTTAGTCCTAAGTGCACTTTCCAGTGGTCTGCCAACAAATTAACTTTCTAAATAAATCTGGACTACTCTGCTATTGGAAATATAATAGGTAGATTCAAAGACATAAATATGAAAGTGTTTTTTTCTTTCAATTTTCAATTATTATTTTCAATTAAGTTTATAGTTAATTTAGTTTTTTGTTTTATTTTAAAACTGCTATTTTGAATTCATTAGTAAATTTAGTTTTATATTTTCATTTCATAATTTTAGGGCTCGTTATGTGTTAACTAATATTATTTAAATGCGTTAAATGCTGTCACATTTCTTACAGGCATTGCCATCTAATGTATCACTATATAATGCAATTTTTTCATGTTTAATGTATTGAATGTATACAATTCAGGGTCTAACTAAAATTAATCTTTTTTTTTTTAATCATGAAAAAATGTTTTAATTAATTTATTTAGTTTTAAATTGCTAGCTATTTCAGATAGCAAAATTGTTTTATTTTTTTCTTTATTTTTTTGTAAATTTTTGTAAATGATAACTACTGCATGGCAGCAGAATAAACCTTTAAGAGATGCTCTGATTGGTGCACTGGACGTTAGTGGCTGTGTATGGGTTGGGGCAGGGCAGCTTACTCAGACTAAGGTAAGTCAAGGGATCATCTAATACAAGCTGGAGGTGCAGAAATAGAAAGTTACACAGACTTACAAAAGGAAACAGTGTCGAGACGGTAAAGAAGGAAATAAGATACTTAAGTGAACAGCAGTAGATTTTGGGATTCTCAGAGAATCTGGATGAATCATTAATATCAGCATTTGCAGTGTACAGAGTAATTGGATCTCTGTAGCTCAACACTTGCACCGGACTGAGGATTTATTATTGTTAAAAGAGCTACTTAAACACTTCATCTGATATTGAAGACCCTCTGAATTATTTGAATGGAAGACATCTGGAGCAGCCATGGATCTTTTTAGAACATTATATAAACCGTAAGGATCTACAAGATCCATATCACACTACATCCTAAGGGATTTCCAGTTCCAGCTGAAGATCTCTGCTCAGTTTTTGCACAGTCGTAGATACGAAGGAGATGAGTGAAGAGTGGTTAGGACTGGGTGAGGAGCGCAGGAGCTGCTCTCCACCCGTTGAGGACTGTGATGTGGGGCTGGTGAAGGGTTTGGCGGTAGATATTTCCACACAAACTGCCCCGGCAGGCAAAGGAACAAGGTTATGGGGCCTTGTACAAAATGTCTTGCACAGAAGAAAGGTAAAGTGAGGGGAAAAATGGCATGAAGTTGTTTATGTTGAAAGTGAACAGTTTAAGTCACTTGCCAGTTTAACAGTTGTGAATGGGTAACTGGTTAAGTAGTGACAGCAGTGTCTTGCAGTGTGACATGCAATACTTCAAAATATTTATTTTTTAACATTTTTCTTATTTTATATATATTTATATATAATATGTATATAACTTTTATTTATAATTCTTTCCACTCATGTCATTATTCTACTTTACTCCGAGATGTTGCATATAAAAATATATGTTAATAGTAATAAAGGATAATTAATTTAGCATTTTTGTGTGTGTGGGTGGGTTTTCCCATGCCAGTGGCGCTCTAATGACCTATGCTGGCATTGGTGGCCAAAGCCCCAGTTCTCACTCTTTCTCTCTCCCTGCCGCGTTGACATACAGGTTGTAATGACTGAGATGATGAGATTAGATAGCAGAGCAGGATCAGGCCTTACACGAGACCATATGGAGATTAGGCCCGGATGAGGGAAAGGAACACGCTGAATTTGGCCCACTCCAGATGGCCCCACGTTTGCTTAGAGGGGTCAGAGAAATTGGCTGGTGATGTGCAAAACTGCTGTATAAGGAGAAGTGGCAGTATGAAAAATGTTCACATCACTACAAGCCCTTCATAACATCAGTGGTGTTGGATGAAGAAATGTGTAGCCAATCCAAAAGCCCTCTAGATCTCAGCAAAGACAAATGTTATGTGTCTGTGTTGGAAATCCCATTGTATTTTATATGTCTTTTTCTTGTTTTGTTTTTTATCCAGTTGGATCCTCAGATGCTCCAGGGTAAAGACTGGCAGAGAACAGTCATACCTATGAATGGGGTAAGTGCATTCACATCTGCTCCTCTGCTGTAATCCTACCATCCAAAACTCTAATTACTAATTGTACACCTTTTTCTGAAGATTGAGGTGAAGATATCTATGAAGTTCACCAGCCGTGAGTTCAGCCTGAAGAGAATGCCCTCACGGAAGCCCATGGGTGTGTTTGGAGTAAATATCTCCATGGTGACAAAGTGAGTCAGCACACATTTTATATGAGGATAGACATACACTAGACAATTATTTGGTCTTTCTTATAAAAAGGAGTTTAAAGCGCACACATTTTGATACTGTAAGTTATCGTGCTTTTTCAGGGATTCATTGTGTCAAAGAAAATCAGAATATACAGTACAGAAAATAGTAAATAGTATAGAATTCTATGAAAATAGGCTTCATAGAATTCTGCCCTTTCTGTGCAGTGTTTGTGTTCGGATTTGATTGACAGTAATGAGGATTGCCTATAATGAGCTTCCTAATGGGTTTAAGGGCAGAACCAATTAATGCTATGAAGACAACATGACAACACCAGTACAGATGCTCAGACCCTAACATGTGCATCAAAGGTCTCTACATTAGCAGCACCTACCGCTGATTAATGTAAATGTAAAGGCATTATTCTGCTTAATTTCCAAGCTGCTCTTTTCCTTACAATGAAAATGTACAGTGAACACAGGCTGTCAATTTTGAGAAGCACATACAACCAACTTTTCTGAAACTGTGATAGCTTTATTTGAGAGACAGACACAGTTAAACAAATTTAAGCCATACTTTTCAAATCTCATTTGCATATACACTATTGTTCTTTTTTTGTTTTGTTTTTAAGAATTAATACTAGGGCTGCATGATATATCGTTTCCGCATCGATATTGCGATGTGCGCATCCGCGATAGTCACATCGCAGGATGTACGATGTTTAGTATACTGATCGTTATATTTATACTGATTGTTTTCTTTGCTCACACACACAGACACGGTGTCTACACCGGACACGACAGCTGTACAGAGATACCCATTTTAAATGCATTTAGTAGCAGAGCTACTGCACACGATTTTCAGTGCTGGAAATCTATTTATCATTTGTTGAAACTTCCGCGTCGTCGAGGAGAGCGCAGGTCACGGTTGCTTAGCAACGGCAGACGCCACGAAAGCGCAAGCTCCCGAGTGCTTTGGAAAGGAGAAAGCGGCGCGGCTGGCGTTTTCCCACGCGTTTTTAGGTGCGACATGTGAGCGGTCCCAAAGTCTGTCTACACTAGACGCGACGCTGTGAGTGCATCAAAAATAGAATGCGGCATCAGTTTACTGTCGGGTATTTGTCGCGCCGCATCCAGTGTAGACAGCATCACTGATTATAATGGGTTCATTGTATTTTATCGTTTCGCGCCGTGCCGCTTGCATCCGGTGTAGACAGTGAGAGCCACGCAGATGCACGTGTACACTGAATTCTGTTCAAGTCTATTTGTGCCTGAAATACTGTGCTCTGCAAGTATCCTTGTAAACACAGATCACAGATGCTTATAGCTTAGGTGAAGGGAAACAATTGAGAAAGAAAATGGATGTGTGTGGCAGTATTTTGGTTTACAGCAGTTTAATGTTCCTGAGGCTTTCTGTGTCATGAATGTTAACCAAACAACAAAACATGTACCTGAATACTGTTAGAATTACCTGAAAAATATATTATTTCATTTGTATCTTTGTTCTGTTATATTTATCTATACTTGTAATTTGTTTATTTCCTATGCTGATTTACTCGCCAACAAAAACACCCCAATCATTGATTTTTTTTTTTCCAAATAAACTATTCAAGTCATGTGTTGATTTTTTTTTCTCACATCGCAATATATATCGCAGAAAAATAAAATATCGCAATTTGAATTTTTTCCAATATCGTGCGGCCCTAATTAATACTTTTATTCAGGAAAGATGCAGTAAATTCATCATAGAAGCCTGAAAAATGTGTTATGGTTCCACAAAAATATTAAGCAGCACAACTGCTTTTTTTAACATTGATAATAATAAGAAATGTTTCTTGAGCACCAAATCAGCATATTAGAATGATTTCTGGAGGATCATGTTACACTGAAGACTGGATTAATGGCTGCTGAAAATTCAGCTTTGCCATCTCAGTAATAAATAACATTTTAAATTATATTAAATAAATAAAAAACGATTATTTTAAAATTATAATAATATTTAACCATATTACTGTTTTTACTGTAATTTTTATCAAATAAATGCAGCCTTGGTGAGCATAATGGTAGTGTTATGTATTTAACGGTAACGGTAATATATTTGATAATGTAATATAAATGTAATATTTTTAATGTACGTGAACGCTAATAGTAATGGTAGATTTAAGATCATATGCTTAAAATGACAAATTTTACATTTTGTCATTTTTGTTTATCCTATTTTGACTGAATGCAAGTAAAAAAAAAATGTAGTCCTTGTTTCTGTCTCATCATCGTTAAAATCATATAGCTGGTCTTGTGATACTGGTATTATTTCTTGTCTCAGACGGGAACGCTCTAAAGTGCCCTACATCGTCAGACAGTGTCTAGAGGAGATCGAGAGAAGAGGAATGGAGGAAGTGGGCATCTACCGTGTCTCAGGAGTGGCCACTGACATTCAGGCACTCAAGACTGCCTTTGACACCAGTGAGTGTCCATCAAACCTGTGTTTTTTTTACATAGAGTAATGACAGACAGATCCAGTCAGCCAGTTTAGTTGCTGATCTCTCTCTCTGTCTCTCTCTGTAACAGATAATAAAGACGTGTCAGTAATGATGAGTGAGATGGATGTGAACGCCATTGCCGGAACGCTGAAGCTGTACTTCAGGGAGCTTCCTGAGCCCCTGTTCACTGACGAGCTCTACCCTAACTTTGCAGGAGGCATTGGTGTGTCAGTTGTTTTTACTTGGAAAACACATTGCTAAGTATTGAGCAGACTTGGCTTTCTGAAGGTATAATTATGTTGATTATGTCCTCGTTTCTCTGCAGCTCTTTCAGACAGCGTAGCTAAGGAGAGCTGTATGCTGAACCTCCTGCTTTCTCTACCAGAGCCCAACCTGGTCACCTTCCTCTTCCTGCTGGATCATCTCAAGAGGTAGACAAGTTGCTGATGACTTTGACAATGTTCTAAGACACTTAACAACAAGATCAAAATCCATTGTTTCTGGAACATTCATATGAAGAAATCATAGCTGTATGAATTTAGGGGAAGGGTTAAAGATAGGCTTAGGGTTAAGGCTATGATTGGCTGATAGAAACGTTTCTGAAACATGGTCTGATCGAATGATGCTTCTATGTTTACATGCACAACTTTTGTTTCAATCGGATTGAATTCATTCAGATTGAGGAGTTTACATGAATGCTAAATAAAGTGATCCAGTTGATGTGCATGTTTATATGTCACAAGCTTTGACATGCGCACACTGCACGAATATAGCGTGTTTCCCGCTGTTTGCGCATAATAATCATTCTCCTACACTCTTTCTTTATTTGTTTTAAACAGCAGAATGAATATTTATCCATTTCTGGTCATAATATGGCGACCATGAACATATAAACCGCTGTGCCGTGCTGCTTATATTTATCGTGCAGTAAAATGCCCCTCCCTGCGCCCAAAACCAGTCGTCTGTGGATGAGAATCCAAAACAAGGACTGGTGGGAGGTTGTCCTGCTCCACTTCACAGATACTGAGTGAAAGGAGTTTTATAATGACGGGACACTCATTAATACAACACTGTATTCAACAGAAAGAACAGCTTGTTCATATGTCATGCTATTTCTGCATCATTGCACATGTGCAGTCCTTTCAAGTTTCGGTTTTCAATCCGATTGAGTGTTTACATGCACTCTCAATCGTATTAGAAAAGGAATAAACCACCCCTTTAAATATGATCAAAATTTTATTCGGATCGAGCTCAGTCGGATCGCTTAAGGTGTTTATGTGAAGGCTTTTCAGTCCGATTGAGCCATCAATCCGATGGATTATATACTAATGGATTATTTGGGTGCATGTAAACGTAGAGTGCTGCTGGCTTCATGATCAATAAGTTTAGTTGGTGAATCTCACCATGAACAAATTTCAGTTTTCACCCTCATTTAAAAAAACAGACTATATTATAAGAGAATATAGTTTTCTTTAAGAATTATCAAGCTTAATAAAAAAATTTCCTTTCAAATTCTCATTGCCGTTATGCAAAAAAAAAGATTTTTAAATTTTTTTAATTCAGTGCCACCAAACTGTACAAATATTATGTATATAAATTATTTGATTTTTTTTAAAATTGGAGGTAGAAAAATTTAATTAATTGTAATTAAATTTAATGTAAGTTTCATAATAGCAAACTGGATGCATTCATACACTGATCATCTCTCTTTTCTCTCTTCCTGCTCTTTCTCTTTTTGTTTCTAGGGTTGCAGAAAAGGAGAGCGTAAACAAGATGTCTCTTCACAATCTGGCCACCGTGTTTGGCCCAACCCTGCTACGACCTTCTGAGAAGGACAGTAAAATCCCCACTAACCCTACACAGCCTATCACGATGGGGGACAGCTGGTCACTGGAAGTCATGTCACAGGTACACTCAGACCTATTTTCAGCATGGACCATAAGGAAAACCACGATTAATTGACTGTTTACAATTTAAGGACTGTGGACATGATGTCAAGCACCATTGAAAATCATTTAAATGTGTCTCTGTTTGTAAAAACAATGGAAAACACATTTACAGTAATGCATTTATGTTTTATCCATTACACGTCTCCTGATATGTGCATAATTCTGTCTTCTTTGGTTCTGTAGGTGCAAGTTTTGCTGTATTTCCTTCAGCTGGAGACCATCCCGACGCCAGACAGTAAGAGACAGAGTATCCTGTTTTCCACAGAGGTGTAAAGGAATCCTTATTCCCATTGTAAGTCTTACACCAGTGGGAGAGGGAGTAAGCAAGCATGTCCACCCACTGGGTATTATGGACACTGGAATGCACAAGAGCAACTCCTCCTGGGCAAAAGCAGGAGTGCTTCGCCTTTCGCGCTTTTTTTCTAGCTGTCGCCACTAGGGGGCAACACAGCCCCTTTAAACATTGAAGAACTCGACTTACTCGGAGCACATTTTGAATATTACTGAACCCTCCATGTAAACCGCCAATTTTCCTCTGAACATCAGTGTCCGTTCAGCACCTTCGCTTTTCATTTTGTGACTCCTCAGATCCCTGAGCATGCTCTTGTGTCTGGTCTTTCATATCAGCTGGTGACTGAATTCTGTCTCTTCTGGCTTTTTTGTGTTTGTCCTCATTTCGCCTGTCCCCACTGGACACTGATGCTCTTTCTGTGCTGCTACAATTCAGTATCCAGCTCCAAACCGTTCCAGATTTTGGAGCCTTTTATATGATAGATAATTACATGGCAGTTCAACGTAGTTCTTTTTACAGACTCTTTAAAGGTCAAATGGATAGCTTCTGTTAGTGTATGTCAATCATTTAAATGACTTAATTTAAAAGGATTTCTTTGTAGAAGATAGTGTTTGGTTCAGTTATTGTCAGTCTTGATGTGATTCTAATTTAAGATAACATTGAGAAACAAACATAAAATTGAGAAAAATCTTGCTAATATAAAAACATTTTTTGGCCCATACCTCTCTATCAAGCAATATTTAAGCATTCATGAGTGTGTTTAAAAACATATGATACATGTTTCATTATGCTTTCGTAGTCAAGATTTTTTTCCCCTCATATTTTGGGAGAGAGATAATCTTTCATAAAGTTCTAAGTACATTCAATATATTTTTCTTTATTCTGATTTTTTTATGTAATATAGAATAATTAATATTTATTTGGGTACAGATATCAACATCAGTGTCTTTTCAAAGAACTTCTATGTTTATCGCTAACTTATCCGTGTTACGAAGTACTGTAGATTCCTTACATATCCTCTTATTTTCCTGTCTTTTTTAATCTGTTCAGCATTTGAAAATGCTCAGAGGATAGCACACCACATTAGCGTTTCCCTGCCATATATCTAGTGTTGAGAGATGACCAAACGGAGAGGTTTTTAGCTTGCATTAACTTTAAACTCTACCCTGTCATTCACATCCGCTCTCTCTCTAGCTGCACAGCACACTGTGGTTTATGTCTCGCTGAGAACCATACAGCAGTGCCTCTCTGTCTCACCGTAAGATATTAAGGTAAAAAAAAAAACAATGCTGTATATAGCACAATCTGTTATCCTTGAATCCTGTCAAATGGTTTTATGAAGGAAGGGTTAATAATGGATGCAGTACAGGAACAGTACAGGTATTGTCTTTATAGCAATTCTGTTAATTATATCAGTAAAAATGAATGCTCTTAAGTTTATTATTTGAGTTAAAGGTGCTTTAGTTACTTTATTTAACATGCAGGCATGTTTTTGATTTAAAAGTGTTTTTAATGTTTGTTTTGTTTTTTTAAGTTTGATAAGTGTTTGTGCATTTCAGATGTAACGTTATACCAAATTCTGGCTACTGTAGAAGGATTTTGAAGACTGTCATACATGCAAAAAGGGGTGCAGCGATTGAAAAGGAATTTCGGTTAATCCACCATCTAAAGTATTTTTTCGTTAAGGTGTGTAGTAAAGGTGCTTCTGAGACTTTTCATCTTGTCTGTCCTCTTTCTTGATTGTCGGCACTAAATGTACATTTCCTGTATCTTGCACCTGTCCGAACTGAATTCAGCATCACATGTGGGTTTCTTCTAGAGATATCCCTGTCTTTTGTAATATAAAACTCTTGACATAAATCAAACTGTGATCTATTGCTATCAGAAGGCATTAGGTGATTCAAAGCATTCCCGTTGTGTTAATTGCTTATTTAATGTGCTTTTTTTTCAATTGTTGAATGTTACTGGGTTTGGAATACTGGACATAAGCGCCAGTTCAATGGGAGTGATACAGCGCATGATGTTTGAGAAGCGATTTCTTTGCACTGCACATAGTTTTAAAGACTATTGTGATGAAATTTCTTATAAACGTAATGAGATTGTATCACACAGTTGGAAACATCTATAAGCAAATTCATCATCTTCTGCAGTCTGAAAACTTGCATTTTACATTATAACCAGATTTATTTGTATCCACAAAGTATAACAGTTTTGAAGTGATTGGTCATGAAAGCACTGCAAGGGTCCATCTGCGTCATCCATTGTAATGTTATGATGATTTATGTTGAAACCTTGCCTTTAAACACATGAAGACATGCTGGACAGCCACCGGGACAGGCTGGATGCTCTCCCCTTTTCCTCTTAAGGTTTTTGTCACTATTTATTCTTGCTAATATCTTAATGTTCTGGTTATAGGACTGTACAAATAGATAATGAATTATGCAGACCGAAACGTTTGGAAGGCATTTGCGGCCTATGTTTATACACAAAATGTTGAATAAAACCTCCTGTATATGAATACCTGCTGTTTCATGGTATTTGTTTCTAAAACTATTGAGATTGTATCACACAGTGAGAAAAATATTTTACACATTCTGGATACGACAGTAGTTTGAGTTAATAATTTACTTTTTTGTGCATGTTTATGGAAGAACATGCTTTGAAACGCATTTGACTGTCTACACGTTATGCATCTATGTCTCCACATGGGGGCAGCACAGCTTTGTGCAGGTGTGTGTGCTTACAGTACGTTTCATTTATTTGTTTTTTATTATGTATTATCGTTTATCATTTTTTGGGGAAGACCATGTTTAATATGTGACTGAAATACCTGTCTTGAGAAAAAACAATCGAGAGGTAAACTTGATATTGAACATTCTACTCATTTGACGAACTGCTTTTTGCATACAATACAAGGAAAGACGCGCGTTTCGACAACAGTGCCGTCAATATGGCAAATTCTCCCTCTCCCTTTTCTCCCCCTTCTTCCTCTTTTTCGTATTTAGCCTTTATTGCATATTTCTCGTGATGTTTACCTCAGTGACGTTAAAAAGTCTCTATAAAGACGTTTTCATGCATGTTTACATGTTAGATGTTGTCTAATATAGCACTGTTCAGTAAAGATTAAAGGGGTCATATGATGCTGCTAAAAAGAACATTATTTTGTGTATTTGGTGTAATGAAATGTGTTTATGCGGTTTAAAGTAAAAAAAACACATTATTTTCCACATACTGTACATTATTGTTTCTCCTCTATGCCCCGCCTTTTTGAAACGCTTCGATTTTTACAAAGCTCATCGGTCTAAAAAGCGAGGTGTGCTCTGATTGGCCAGATATCCAGTGCGTTGTGATTGGCCGAATACATCAAG